ACTATCTCCAGATGACTTAGCTGTCATTCCCTTCTTCCCCCTGATATGTTCACTCATCCATGATTCTGTGCAAGATACTCTTTAGAATCTATGGAGGCCGCAAAGATGACTATCTTTAAGGAACTTACAATATAGTAGGGACAGTATATGATAAAGATAAGGATAATAATAGCACATATGGATCATTTGCTATGTCTGGCCACTGTTCTAAGTCCCTTAAAACTTCATTTTATCAAAATAATGCTATAGGTTGAGCACAGTGGTTCACGCCTGTAATCCCAGCATATTGAGAGACTGAGGTGGGCAGATCACCTAAGGTCAGGAGTTCAAGACCAGCTTGACCAACATCATGAAACCCTGTGTCTACTAAAAATACAAAAATTAGCCAGGCATGGTGGTGCATGCCTGTAATCCCAGCTACTCAGGAGGCTGAGGCAGGAGAATTGCTCAAACTTAGGAGGCAGAAGTTGCAGTGAGCTGAGATCACACCACTGCATTCCCAGCCTAGGCAACAGAGAGAGACCCCATCTCAAAAAACCAAAACCAAAATAATGCTAAAAATAAATGTAATCATCATCTCTGTTTCAAAGATGAGGAAATTGAGGCCTACAGAAGTTAGGCAACTCACTCAAAGATAAGTTGTTCATACAAACAGTATCACAAAGTCAAATTCAGTTGAATTTCTTGGCAGTTCAGTTGAATTTCTTGGCAGTTCATAGGAGGGAGAGATTCCTTCCTGGGGCTAGACATCAAGGCATATTTTATAAAAGGAGGGGGCAGCAAGAGACCAAGGTCTTAAAGGGTATAAATGGTTAAATTGTAGCCTCCAAAAGACATATCCACTCAGAACCTGTGGATGTGACCTTACTTGGAAAAAGGGACTTTGTAGATGTAATTAAGGTTCTCAAGATGAAAGCTCCCAGGATTTAGGATGGGCCCTAAATCCAATGACAGGTGTCCTTATATGACAAAGGCAGAGGGAGATTTGAGACTCGGAGACACAGAGAGAAGAAGGTCACACATGTGAAGACAGGCAGAGATTAGCAGTCCCAAGCCAAGGAATGACAAGGGCTGCCAGCAGCCCACAGCAGCTAAGAGAGAGGTATGGAGTGGATTGCCCCTCAGAGCTGCCAGACAGAACCAGCCCCGCTGACATCTTGATCGTGGACTTGTAAGAATACGTTTCTGTTGTTTTAAGCCACCCGGGGTGTGGTAATTTGTTACAGCAGCCCTAGGTAACTAACACAAAGAATACGTGAGAATGGCTGTGAAACAACAGCTCAAGCAAAGACACTGAGGTGGAAAAACACAAAGGCTTAGGTTTATTGCCTTTGGTTTGTCTGAAGCATAAGGATCCTGAAATGGAATGTGTTGTTTAAGACACGGATCATATTATGGAGAGCTTTGAATGCCAGGTTAGGAAATGTAGATACTATTTGATGATCAATGATGAACTTGTTGAGTTGTGTGTTCAGAAAATGAAGGTGTCTCTGAGCCAACAGGAGGTAATATGGGCCTGAATTAGGGCAGGGACAGTGGAATGAAGAGAAGTGTTAAAAGAAAAACTTCAGCTGAATTGAATTTAAAGGAGTTTCATTGAGCAATGAACCATTCATGAATTGGGCAGCCCCCAGAATCAGCAGACTCAGAGAGACTCGAGGGATGCCTGGTGGTCAGAACAAATTTATAGACACAAAAAAGGGAAGTGAAGTGCAGAAATCGGAAGTGAAGTACAGAAACAGCTGCATTGGTTACAGGTTGGCATTTGCCTTCTTTGAATGGTTTGGACACTCACCAGTCTGAGTGACTGAAGCATGGCCGCTGGGATTGGCCAAGAGTCAGCTATGTTACAGACACATACTCCTAAATTTGGTTCTCAATTTCGTCTGCCTATTAAGCTAGGTTACAGTTCATCCACAGGGACTCAAATATAGAAGTATGGGGTCCTTCTCGGGTCATATTTAGTTTGCTTTAAAACTAAAAACACAGAGAGGAAGCATCTTGCAGGAATCAAAGAGACTTGGCAATCAATAGATTCTTGATCTAACTTGCTAAGTAGCTTGATTCATGTTTTACCTGCTGTTGTTTACATGTGTTTGTCTTCTGGGCTGCATAACACCCACACTCTAAATGAGCTACCCCAAGTCATTTGGCTGCCTGTCAACTAGGATTATTAGCTTTTTCTGGCTTCCTGGTAATTAATCTGTGTTCTAGGTTGAGGACTTTCCTTTCTCTGCCTCTATTCCTCTTATGTAAGCTAAACCTTTGGAAATTGTTTCAATACCCTATGTTTCCTTCCTTTGGTACCTGAGCTGGGGGCAGGAGGCAGGGTTTCAAGGCAGCTATGCTGGCCTCACTCCAGCATCCTATTACAGATCCTGTCTCAACACTTTATGTTGAGTGTGGTATAGAGGAGGCCTTGATTAAGCTGTGACATCTCGGACAGATGTGAACCTTAGGGCCATGTAAAGAAGTTGGACATTACCAATGTGCTGGAGACCTTGAATGTGCTCTGAGGCTTCAAGCCTTATTAGCATCATATTCTGTTTTTCAGTTTCCCCAAATCACACTGACTCCTTTGATCTGGCTTTCTAATATTAGACTAGTGGGAAGAAGAAGAACCAGTGTTTACCCAGGGCTTACTCAGTGGCCAGATATGGTGTGAGGTGCTTTATATATATTACTTCATTTAATCTTTATATCAGAAGTATGAGGCAGGTGCTATTATCCTCATTTTACAGATGAGGAAATTGAAGTTCAAAGCAATTAAGTCACTGCACAAGGTCACACAAGGAGTAGAGCTGCCAAGATACAACCTTGGGATTTTCTCAGATAATCACACCACCTCTTATCCAGGGTATACACATTTTTTTTTTTTTTTTTGCAGTGTTACTAAGGTGGCAGAATTCAGTTTTTGGCATATAGGCAGGATTTGGCTGGTGCATGCTGGGTTTTGACTTTGTGCCATGATTTTGTACAATCATTTTCCCTGTGGTCCCTCCTATAGCACATGCCCTGACCTAGCACTTCCTGGACATCAGCTTCGAGAATGCTTGAGAACTTTCCAGGCTGATGAACTTGTGCTGTTTTCTGAAGGAACAAGAGCATGTTTTAGCCTCATGTGGAAGTTTTCTGGTTGCACGCCTAGGTTTGGTTGAATTGGAAAGAGTGAATAAAATGAATCCTCATATATAACCTGATCTCTACATTGGTCTTGGAAAAGAAATGACTTTGGTACAGTAACTGTGGGTAGTACTGCCTGTAAAACCTGTGATGTTAGGGCCTCTGTTCATACCCTCTAATCTCTAAACCCAGGCCAAATCCTTAGGAACCAAGCCAACTGTCCTTGGTTCATGCTGTTTTTGTCCCATCTTCCACCTGCTCAACCCCAGAGTGCATTTCTCCCTTCTTTCTGCAATCCTGAGTCTAAACTTTGTTCATGGCTCTGCTCCAGCTCATTTCCTCCATTAAGCCTCTCCCAACCAGCTTTCCTTTTCTGAATTCCTGCAGTCAGTTTGCTCATATGATGCTCTCCTAGCTCTCTGATTCTGGGTCTGTGTATTATCTCTTTAACTGACTGTAGCCTCTTAGAGTGAGGAGTGCAGTCTTCCTTCTGACCCCAAGGTGCCTGGCATAGTGCTGGGCATGCAATGGGGGCATCAATTATTGATTGAGGTCTACCTTTCCGATTCCTGCTCTCAGAAAAGATAGTAGAATGGAAGGGCTGTCAGTCTGTAAATGATAACAGCCTATAAACTCCTGTACAGAAATATACCAATATTCACAGGGGATATTTCTGGGTACCGAGCTTATTGGTGGGTTTCATTTCTTCTTTGAACTTTTGGTATTGTCCAAATTTTCTACAGTGAACATTTATACTTTACTTCTTACAAAAAAGTTATTTCATAAAAGTGCATATTACTTTTAAGAGAAAGGATAGTGCCTGTTTTCCATCCCCATTTCTATCTCCTTGATGCCTATGGAGATATGATTTTTCAATTTAACCATGTGCTTCAAGATCAGGAATCTAGATTTCTCATTAGCCCTGCTACTGACTTTTTCATTTTTCATTTTTTAATTTTTTGTAGAGATAGGGTCTCTTTTTGCTGCCCAGGCTGGTTTCAAACTCTGGGCTCAATGATCTCCCACCTCAGCCTTCCAAAGTGCTGAGATTACTGACTTTCCGAGTGCCTCTTAAAACTCTCATTGCTTTGGTGTCTCCATCTGTAAACCTGACCAAGTGATAAAGGAATTCTCATATCTGCCCTTTTCCAGAACTGTAAGGCATTCGATGAGGAAATATTCCAAAATCACTTTAAAATAATCTGGTAAATGTTTATAGACCCAGTTATTTGACTGTGCATGCCCCAGATTTCTATGCACCCCATTCTCTGTGCAACTCAGTTTTCTAAAGCACTTTTTGTTGGAAACTCAGCTCTTTGTTTAGAATTTTTTAGCCTCAAAAGTACTGTCTTAAAGAATATTGGAAGATATTTGGGATTTCTGCTGAAAAGTACCATACTAGGACTGTATACTGGGAGGTAGAATAGCGCTGTGGCTAAAAGTATAGGCTTTGGACTCAGTGTCCCTTGTCCTGAGAATGTTTGAGAACTTTTTGGGCTGATGAACTTGTGCTGTTTTCTGAAGGAGCAAGAGCATGTTTTAGCATCACGTGGCAGTTTTCTGGTTGTATCCCTAGGTTTGCTTCTATTGGAAGGAGCGAATAAAATGGGGCCAGGTGCAGTGGCTCATGCCTGTAATCCCAGCACTTTGGGAGGCTGAGGTGGGAGAATCACCTCAGGTCAGGAGTTCGAGATTAGCCTGGCCAACTTGGTGAAACTCTGTCCCTACTAAAAATACAAAATTAACTGGGTGTGGTGGTGGGCACCTGTAATCCCAGCTACTCAGGAGGCTGAGTCAGGAGAATCTCTTGAACCCAGGAGGTGCAGGTTGCAGTGAGCCGAGACTGCACCACTGCATTCCAGCCTGGATGACGGAGTGGGACTCTGTCTCAAGAAAAAAAAAAAAGGTCCTATTATATAGCCTTAATCTTTACATTGGTCTTGGGAAAAGAAATTTCAGATACATTTCTAGAACCCAGATCACCTTGCTAAAATGTAAAGTTTACCTCACTCCATGATTCTGCAAATCTGCATTGTTTTCCACACTGAGTTTAGAATAAAATACAAATTCCTGAGCCTGGGCAAACAAACAGAAACCTTCCCATCTTCAGTTCCCAAATGACACTTCCAGGCTCTGAAAAAGCTCTGAGTATCATTGTTCCTGTAGTTCCCTCAGCTGAGAATGTTATTTTTCGATTCTCTGTCTTTGGAAATCCTTCCTAGCCTTCAGATGCCACCTTCTGTGTGGAGCCCTCCTTGATCTCCCAAGGCACAACTAAGACACAGGGTTCTTCTGAATGCCCATACCAGTGTGGCCTGTGTTTCATTTAACCTTGTCCTACATTTCATTGTTTACACTCCCTTCTGGATTGCATACTCCTTGAGGAGTGGAAGGTTGTTGATTCACTTTTGCATCCAGATAATGTCCAACAAAAGATAGGCAGCCTTTCATAAATGCTGGGCGTGCTTAGTATAATTCCTTCCTGATAGGAATCAGCAGCAGCTCCAATGCTTTTTAGTGGCAGCATATTTGTAGAGCAGCTAAAGGGGAGGGTTGAGGAAGGACTGTGCCTACTCTGTCCTTCTTTCTACCCCCCATCCCCAGCAGCAGAGATAGGGTTCCTAGGTCTCCAGCTCTGCATGCTTGACTAGCCTCCCATCACAGCGTATTTGCTGGAGAGGAAATGGAAATTGTTCCTGATTTAAGTGCATGCATCACATCAGAGGCAGGCCAGGGCCCCTTCGTCTCATGAGTCAGCAGACATTAAGCCAAGCTCATCTCTTCCCCTTACCTAAAAGCCCACAAAGCAATAAACTCATTATCACTGCACAGAGAATCATGAATAGGCCAAGGACAGGTCAGTCTGGATTGTTGCAAGGGCTGCTTTTGTAAGGAAACAGGCAGTGAGCCATTTTGCTTTCAATCGCTCAGTACTTCCACTACTCACTGCCTGAACCGGAGACACCCACTTGACATTATGCAGTAGGTACCCCAGATACCGTTATCAAACAACTGGGTCTACTTGCCTGGCACAAAGAAGCCAAACACTGACATCCGGGATTGCAGCGAGAGAAAGTGAGGCATTTATTGCCAGGCACCAACAAGGAGAGTCAGGCAGCTCAGGCTGAAGACCCGAACCCCCAAGAGCTTACAGGTAAGGATTTTTAAAGGCAGGGAGGCAGAGGTTAAAGGCAAAATCATAAACCAATACATGAAGGCTGGCCAGGCACAATGGCTCACGCCTGTAATCCCAGCACTTTGGGAGGCCGAGACGGGTGGATCACTTGAGGCCAGGAATTCGAGACCAGCCTGGCCAACGTGGTGAAACCCTGTCTGTACTAAAAATACAAAATTAGCCAGGCATGGTGGCATGCATCTGTAATCCCAGCTATTTGGGAGGCTGAGGCAGGAGAATTGCTTGAACCCGGGAGGCGGAGGTTGCAGTGAGCCAAGATCGTGACACTGTACTCCAGCCTGGGTGACAGAGTAAGACTCCATCCCCCCCCCCAAAAAAAAAAAAAAACATGCAGGCTATACATTGGTTTTACCTGTATAAAAGCTGAGACATCTTGAAGCAGGCACCCACAGGTCATAGGTGGAGTCAAAGATTTGCTGATTTGTGATTGGTTAAGGAGGTGGAGCTTTGTCTAAACATTTGGGATCAGCAGAAAATAATGTTAGTTTTGGCTCGTGGGTGTGATCTCCAGGCCCCTCAGAAAGAAATTTAGAACAAGAAACAGTGGTTGGAGTTCAGTCCTCAGTTCCCCTTTATCTAAGGTCTCTGTACCAGTGTACCCATTTGGTGGAGGTCCAAATTCTGAAAAACAACTCAAGAATATATGCTAAGATGTTATCTTTAGTTTCTATTGGGAAGCAAATATTCGTGTGACTCTAACGTCCTTGGCTATTGTTTTAAGCTACTGTTACCATCTTGCTTATCAGGTTGCTCATTTACTTGTCAAGGCTAGCTAGGTGCCTGGAAATTTCCACGAAGGAACTCAAGATTTTCTTTTATTTCCATGCTTGGGGTTGGGGTTGGAGGAGGGTGCTGCAAGCCCTTAAAAGGGGTTCCTGCTCCATCTCAATACTTTCCCAATAGCTCTGAGAATTCTTGCTGGGGGGGGCATGGGGAAGGAGCCACCTTGTGACTCCCTCTGCCATGAGTCTCTGCTTCCACTGCCTTTCTGGCATCTACTCTGGGCCCTGCCTCTGCGTGTCTCATTCCTTTTGCATAGCCTGTGTACTTACTCAGCTCACATACAAACCCCTCAATCCCCAGACTGCCACTGGTCATGGCTGTGCGTGTGGTGCAGGCTTTAATGAAGTTTGGACAACAGTGTGTGTATGTGCATGTATGTGTTTGCATGGGTGTGTGTGCATGAGTGTGTGTACATGCATGGTGTGTATGTGCATATGTGTTAATTTCCTAGGGCTGCCATAAAAAGTAACACAAACTGAAAGGCTTAAACAATAGAAATTTCCTGTCTCATTGTCTCACAGTTCTGGAAGCTAGACATCTGAGATGAAGGTGTCTGCAGGGCTGTGCTGTCTCAACAGGTGCTAGGGAAGGAGCCGTTCCAGGTCTCCCCTCCAGCTTCTGGTAGTTCCTTGGCTTGTGGGAGCATGACTCCCGTCTTCATGTGACTGTCCCCATATGAGTGTCTGTGTTCAGATTTCCTCCTTGTATAACCACAGTCACATTGCATTAGGGGTCTACCCTACTTTGCTATGACCTCATCTTAATTAACTATCTGCAATGACCCTATTTCCAAATAAGGTTGTATTCTGAGGCACTGGGGGTTAGGATTTCAGCATACAAATTTTCAGGGGACACAATTCAACCTATAATTTTGTGTGTGTGTGTGTGTGTGCACGTGCGCATGTGTGGTCATGGTTAGGGATGTTAGATTACAGGATGGAAGGGTAACACACTTTTAACTGCATACTCAATCATCCCAGTTCTCAAAAATCCTCAGCTTTTCTGTCCCCTGAGGGCGTGTCCTGTGTCATGCCTTCCCCACAGCCTCCTGCCATGCGGCAGGACACCTTCTGGCCCTCTTCTTGGGCTTTGCCCTGCTTCCTCATGGCTCGTTTCAGCTCCAACTCCAAAAATCACTGTGCATTTCTGATATAAAACAGTTTCACTATTTTCCTCCCCAGGCCAATCATCCAGGCCTGGTCTAGAGGGCCATCTTAATAACTAAAAAGTCCACTAGAGATGTTTCTAACAAAGACAGTTCTCTCGCCGAGGAGAAATTCTGTAGTCAGCTCTGATAGTAACCCTTTTTTTCCCTTCCTTTCATCAGTTAAATAAAATAAAATTATTTATTAACCTAAATGTTTTATGTGCTAGTTTCTGTTATTTCTGGGTGCATTTAAAAAACAATGCCTCCTGTACAAAATCAGGAAAAAAACCAGAAATGATAGTGAGGACAGGTTGTGCCTCATGGGCCAGGGATGGACAGCTTATTACCCCTCCTTCTACTGGAAACATACTAATAAATCGGTAACTCTTTCTTGCCAGGCAACGTCATGGTTTCAGAACTCTTCTCTACAGAATTGACACAGGCCATCATTATGAGTTCATCAGAGCTGATACGAGAGATTAAGGCAATTTGCCACCCCTGTTCTAGACGTTCTGTGGAGGGAATTTTATGCTTCTGGTGACGACTTCTATTTGTGTTCATTAATAGTTGCCAGTGTTTGGAAATGAATATAGGGTGGACAATGTGATTTCTGTATTAGTCAGAATAGGCTGAGTCATGCAATGGTAACAAATGACGCCCAAATCTTGGTAGCCAGCATGAATAAAGGTTGATTTCTTGCTCATAACGCCTGTCCTTTCAGGATCACCTGAAGCTCTGCTCCGCATCCCCTTCATTCAGGGACTCAGGCTGACGGAGCAGCCTCCACCTGGAATATTGCTGCTCTTGTAGCAGAGGGAGAGAGGACATGGGCGAACATTAAGCTGGCTCTTTAAAGCTTCCGCTTTTAAGTGAGCCAAGTCAATTCCACTCACATTTCATTGGCTAAGCCAAATGTCAATGAGGAGAGGAAGTATGAATTCTCCCTCAGAGAGGGGCAGCAACAGCCTTAAAACAGTTTACGTCAGGTACCTCATTTTTGTTATCGATCTTAAATGTCTGAGAAATGAAGTGAAAGAAAATGGAGACCTTTTATATTTATTAATTTTAATGACTCTTCTTTACTTTTCTTACTATATGTGGTAGAATTCTTATGAGGCTTAAATAATTGAAATACATATTTGATGGGATTGACATCAGAACCTTTATTATTTAATGCTTTTTCTGTAGCAGAAATGTAACTCGTTTTAAGAGAAGGCTACTTAATGGTCAAAATAGGTGTATTAATGAAGGACTAAAATAATCATGGTTAAATCCCAACTTTAATGATCTAACACAACACTGTTGTTATTTATCTTCATAGCAAAGTATGGGAAACCTAACATTATTATCCTAATGAAACATATGTTGTACTTTTTTACATGCTTTTGCTAGGCAAATAATATTTTCATATCAAAATGCATTAAGGCAGATATTAAAGGGTGGGTGTGGTGGCTCATGCCTGCAATCCCAGCACTCCGGGAGGCCTAGGCGGGCAGATCACTTGATGTCAGGAGTTCAAGACCAGCCTGGCCAACACGGTGAAACCCCATCTCTACTAAAAATACAAAAAAATTAGCTGGGTGTGGTAGCACATGCCTGTAATCCCAGTTACTGGGCTGATACAGGAGAATCGCTTGAACTCGGGGGATGGAGGTTGCAGTGGACCAAGATTGCGCCACCGCACTCTAGGCTGGGTGAAAGAGCAAGACTGTCTCAAACAAAACAAAAACAAAGCCAAAAAAGAAAAAAAAAACCCAGGTATTAAAAAATGATCACTTGCTGTGATAATTATTCACTTAATTCCATTAATGTTAGAGTTTCAGCAGGTTACATGCAAAGCAGAAAGTTGCTAAAGTGTGTTTGGAAGAAATTAGTTTAGAAGACTGCTAATAAATATTGAACTAAAAAAATTTAGTAATTCAAAGGTGCAGGGAATATTTGGTTAAACACAGTAAACAGGACTGATTCAAGACAGAACTTTTAATAATGTGTCATTAGTGCATAATCCCTTTGTCAAGCAATGTTCTATAGAAAATACTTTGGGAAATGCTGGCTCAGCTTTTAATCTGTGTGTGGTGGGGATCTCCATCTCACTTCATTTTAAATTTCTTTTTATTTTAGTTTTTTGTTTCTGGTTTTTTTTTTTTTTTTTTTTTTTGAGATGGGATCTGGGTCTGTTGCCCAGGCTTGGATGCAGTGGTGCAATCATAGCTTACTGCAGCCTCGACCTCCTGGGCTCAAGCTATCCTCCCACCTCGGTCTCCCAAGCAGCTGGGACAACAGGCATGTAGCACTACACCTGGCTAACATTTTATTTTTTAGTGGATACAGGGCCTCGTTATGTTGCCGAGGCTGGTCTGGAACTTCTTGGACTCAAATGAGCCTCCTGCCTCATCTTCCCAAAGTGCTTGGATTAGAGGCAGGAACCTCCATGCCCAGCCTCCATTTCACTTGAGCCTTCCAAACCCATGGCCATTTTGGGCTCTACCATCACCCAACATGCCCGGAATCACCAGTTCAAGCTTTCCGTTTCTGGCCACAGCATCTTTTCCTGCTAGCCTGCTTTCAACCAGTCCCAGTACAACCACTTATCAACCTCCCTGGAACTCCAATCTTTGCGGACTTCATTTACTTCTAATCATTCTGTCTCCTGCTCTCTCGATTTCCTGCTTATCACGTTAGACTGCATGATACATCATTTTAGTAACATACTTGGCCAATGATCTAAAGCCCCTTTCTATCCTATCTCTTAGCTGTACCACATCCTAATAATTTTTTTTTTAACTAGCTAGGAGCAGATTGAGGAGTGCGTGGAAGAAGAAGTGGAGACAATGAGAATTTTGTCTGTGAAAAGGCAGGACTATCTAGAGAGAATGTAATGTCAAAGGAAGGTTTTTCTTTTCTTCCTTTGTACAGCTCAGTGAAGTTTTACATATTTATACACCTCATGTAGCTACCACCCAGATCAAGATATACAGCATTTCCAGGAACAAAAGGTAGAATATCTCAGTGTTTGAGAACTTGTTAT